TTTGTTAACACGCCTTCTTCAAACATGGGAACTCTATGCAAGCATGGAGGATGTACTAAAATCGTGGCTCAAAATTAAGTGAGGAAAGTGTAACCCGATCGTGATGAGGCCAGCGCCTCGCCCACTGGCCCCATTAACGCCCAACTTTCATTCCTAAAGGTTTTCTGGTGGTGCGGTTGTCTCGCTACTGGTTGTTTCCATTTCAGACGGTCACAGTGTGGTCATAGGAGAAAGACTTCGTTCCAACGTGATAATTCGTCCGGCCACGCCCGTTCTTCGTCCTAGGCATGCATAGGCGCGGTTCAGCATGGGGTTCTCTGTGGAGCATTTCCGGCGGATTTTCTTCTGCTTTTTCTTCTCTACTAAGTCTGCCTTGCAATAAGTATTCGAGCTGCACAACTCACCATTTTTGCTCCTGGGGATGCCTTTTATGATTCTCGAAACTGCCGAACTCGATGAAGACTTAGTCCACTGTTACCAGAGGGGTGTGTTCCACGCGTTCAGGCGGACTTGTTATTCCTTTTCAGAACAACTCTATTTCCCAGGACAAGTTTTTGCCCATCCTACATTGTGGCCTGAAAAGAAGGGGTCTCTTAGGAAATTCCTTGTGATACTAATGCTTGCTGCGCGCTCTATTCAAATGTGGCGGGGCAAGTTTTTATCGAGATATTTTCTTTTCGAGACAAACAGGATCATGGGCACTGTTTACCCTTCACTGCCCCAGTCATCCGAAATCTGGCCGGCTTCTGACCGACTTTTTTCTCCGTGAACGGAAATGCCTGAAAATTTGTCTCCTGGGGTGTAATTCTACCTCCTAAACATGAATATCACATCCGTTTGGCGCGAAACCTCCTGGCGCCCGCGCCACAGGCGCCGGCGCCAAAATACCCTAAATCACCAAATTCGCTGAAAACTTGTCCCAGGGTAGTTTGACCTCCTGAACACGAATATCACATCCGCTCGGCGCGAAACCTCCTGGCGCCCACGCTACTGGCGCCGGCGCCAAAACACCCCAAATCACCGGCGCCTGTGGCGCGGGCGCCAGGAGGTTTCGGGCCAAGCGAATAGATATTCGTATTCAGGAGGTCAAACTACCCCAGGAGACAACATTTGAGCCAAATCTGTCCACGGAGAAAAAAAAAACTGGCTCAATTCTGGATGGTTGGGGCAGTAAAGGGTAAATAGTGCCGAATCATGTATTTGTTGAGTTACATACAAAATCAGAAAATAGCCTAAATGCCTCGAATCTGTGTGTCTCATGGTAGACGCCGTGTCCAAATGAAGTATGCTGTTACACGCACTCTATTTAAAAATGCGGTTATTTGTGCAAATATGACATGGTGTGCAAATAACCGCATTTTTAATATCCATTTTTTTGCAGAATTGAAACGCTTGAGGCTCAGCTAGCTACTTTCTCAAAAAACGCTACTCCAGACAAGCTTAGGGAGGATATTCTGGCTCTGATTGACGATAAAGCAAAGTTTGAGGTTGCGTCAAAGGAGCATCTGAGGTAATTGCTTAGAGACCTCTTGTTTACCAAACTGATGTGCCATAATTTATGTGGCCCCATTCGTGAAAAATTTTTTTAAGAAGAGCGCAAGAAGAGCGTGCCGAGTCAGCGCTGAGGTTAGCCGACATTGATCGAAGCTTAGTATCCACTGAAGAAGAATGCAATCGATTACGTTCGCGGGTATGTTTTTCCGAGTTTTTTTTGTCGTCGTCAATTTGATGGGCTATTAGTTTTTTTTTTCATTAGCAGTGTTGGTGATACAGAGGAGATTTATTTAAGATACAAACGTTGGAAGCAAAACTAAGTGAGACTGTCAGTGCCTACGAAGCGAAAGTCAATGATTGCAATAATTCCCAGATAGCTCTTGTAGAGGTATGAGTGATTTTGCCTCATTCCCTTTGAGAAAGGGGACTTTGTACGTGCTGCATGATTAGCATAGCAGTTGCATCTTTATATGGACTGTCAAGGCGTTTCATGAGGAAATCGTTGATTGTTTGGCGCTGCCTTTACAGCTTCACTTGTCCAAATCTGGGTTGGTCCGCGATAATGGCTTTGCGGCACAAGACTATAAGTTGAGGAAAAGAGGTGATAAGCAGTGCTCCCGAAAAGCCGCGCGTGAAACCAAATGTTTCGGCTCTGTGAACGCACAGTACTGCGAATACCCTAGGAAAGTTTAGTTACCGGTTCATTAGCCTCTGTAACACTCCTCCTGCACAGCCTGGCTGATTCACACTAACTCCGCTTTCCAGCTGGGCAGGTGCTGCCTAGGTGAAAACTGGGTGATGTTGTGTGCACTCGCTGCTTTCGTGCATTCAGCTTTACGAGCAGTTTGGGGTACTGTATCCCGCCTATTTTCCTAGATTTATTCCCGCCTATTTTTCTTAACTTATCAATAAGCATTCTCGAAACGTGCACTTCACAATCCTGGCTGTGGTTCAGAGGTTATATGATTTGTAGAGAAGCGCGGTCTGCAGCTGTCGTGCTATCTGAGAATCGCTCGAATCGCAAAGTATGAACGCGGGATTTTCTTCCAAGAGCCGATTTGGCCACAATATTGCACGCAGTGGTAATTTGGACTGTTGAATATGAAGATCGCATCCGTTTGACACGGAAACACCTGACGCCCACGCCTCAAGTACCGTCGCCTTTAGCTTGGACGTTAGTCGTTTTCGCGCCAAAGAGATGTGATACTCCCACTTGGGGCCGAACTACAGTCGCGGCAATAAAAAAAACTTGGAACAAGCCCTATGGAAACTTTGTTTGCTGAAACCAAGTACGCCTGAAAATGGTATTCCGAAAAATAAAGTTGGCTGATTGAATTCGTTAACAGGGCAGAATTTCGAAGGTTATTGCGATGCGGCAGGTCCGCTGCCATTCTGATAGGATTTTCAAGGTTTTTAATGCTTTGCAATCCATCGGAAGATCACACCTGTCTGAGTGTTCGCTCCCTTCTTCCATTTCTTTTTTAGAACTCACGAAAAACCTATATTGGTTCCCAAAGCATTAGAAACTTTGAAAACCGGTCCAGTACCAGAGGGGCAGTGGTGTGCCGCATCGCAATAATTTTCAAAATTCTGCCCCGGTAAAACGAAATTTATATCAACCAACCTTCATATTTTTAGAATAGCCTTTAGGGCGTACTTTGTTTGAGCAAATAGACTTTTCATGTGCAATTTAAAAATTGTATGTAAAACTATTAAAATGCAGCGACTAAGGCTTGTTCCAAGTTTTTTTTGCCGCTACTGTATCTCTCGGAGAACCATTCTCGCCGAGTCTATCCCGAGGGCAATTTCTGCGAACCATCGAGCCTAAATTGGAAAGTGATCCTGGAGAGGGTTATCAGCGCCAAATATGTGAATTACTGAGTTCCTCAAGTTTCCTCGCTTTAGACTGAGAGGAGACTAGTAGCAGCCGAGGAGAAAGCGAGTACTGCCGAAACTCGCCTTGGCGAGATGGAGTCGAAAGGTGAGCTAATGTTGTCGAATATTTCCTGTAAAATTTCATAAAAATAATGTTTCTGCTACAACTACCTATCGCTTCTGCGTTTTAGCCCAACATGAGCGCTCCGTGTCGTATTTGGTTCGACTTCTTGTGAACGCTTTGAACAACAACCCAACTGTGAATGAGAACGATCACTGGTTGACTATGCTGTATGAAGTGCTTCGAGAACGAAATATCGCAGCCGACACTGTTCCTGAACCACCGGTCATAAAAATGCCGAAACCTGATTTGGCTTCTAATGGTCGGTTGAATATTAGGGCGCTGTTCGACTCAGGGGGGAATGAACTCTTGCAAGTCTCCTTCACTATTTCCTCTTAATATGTAGGTATCCTCTTGGTGGGACCTATGAACTTTTGTCAAGTGTAAGGAAAGAGCTATTGTCTAGCTTCGCAAGGATTCACAAGTCTCAGAAGAAGGCATCGATATTGATTGATAGAAACCAGCAAAATGCCCCCACGAAGCTGAACTGCGTCAAATAGTAGATTAAAGGTAAATACAATGTAACCTTCCCCTTTTCTTCAGAACTCATGGGATGCAAGAAGTGTGAGTACTTGAAGGACATCAATGCTCGTGAAGTACTTATTCGTGCCGAGATGGAGTCTTACCTCAAAGACAATCTTCAACTTCAAGGTGCTTGGGTTATCTTATTCTCGAAAGAGGCTGAGTTTATACTTTGCGGCAACGCCCACCAGGGTCCTGCTGCGTTTCGAGTGTCCGTTAGCGCCAGCGGATAGGAAAGTTTAGATATCGATCTAGCGATCGCGAGCGTCCAGGAGTGGAAAGAATGGAAAACTAGGGGGTAGAATACAGCTGGTAGAGTATGGGGAAGTAAGAGGAGCAAAGAGCTGGATTGGGCGTCTAAATTTGCGGCGTGTGCAGCCGCGCCGTACAACTACTGAAGCACGGAATTGTAATTTAATGTACGGTATTGTGGAGTAGTGCGTGCAATTGCACACGCCGCAATTTTATGCCACTTAGTCCAGCTGTCTGCTCCCTCCTACTTCCCCATACTTCCCAGCAGTCTGCTACCCCTAGTTCCCCGTACTCCACTCCAGGACGCTGGTGGACGCTGGCGTTCCTAGATCGATATATATTTTCGTGGTCGCTAGCGCTGACGGACGCTAAACACGTTGGTGGTTGGTGGACGCTGCCGCAAAGTATGAACGCAGCCAGAAGTTTTATCTCATCTTCATGTAGCACTCGCTGTCCCTGCGCTGCAGAACGCTTGAAGAGATCACATTTCTGAGACCTTAGTCCGCGTTGGGTTACTAGCTCCAGAAGGGTGGCCGTGCATCCAGACCCTTCCACTCAGGGTATATGACAAGAGGATCGTTATCGCCCGCGCTGATTAGGGCGTTCGCCGATGCGACGTCGCGGCCCGCAAATAACGATGTTCCCAGGTACTTAGATGCGCGACAACAGGCATGCAAACTGAACATAGCCATGCTGTTCCCCTCGATGAGGGGTCCACAGGGAAGTCCAGGGCTCCAATCGGCAGGTTAACAAGAGTTAAGAAAACGCCGCGCTCATCGCCGCGCGCGGCGGAGCGGCAAATTACGATCCTCTTGGCCGTCTCCCTTCCACTCAAATCGTTCCTAACGTATCAACCCCTATTTCGTAACACTTGGAGGGATCTCCGTGACAACCACAGCGGACCTTTTTCTGACGCAAGCCGTCTCGGGGCACTGGTCAACCGGGGAGTCTCTCTTCTCTTTTTTTTTCTCCTTTCTTCTTTTCCTCCCTCCCTTCCCTTATCTCTCCTCCTTTATCTTCTCCCTTCAACTGCTGGACTGGTAGATGTCTTGAGAAAATACCGTTGGACCCGGTATTTTCTCAAGACAAGTCTGGTAGACAAATGCCCCGTAATCGATGTAAGCTACTGGTCGTTTATTTGTTCTTTTTTGCTCACTTTTCATTGCCCTTCTCAGTGCAGTTTTTTTAGCCCGTGTGCGGGACTTGGAATCCGAGCTTGCAATCGCGGTTTCTCCGGTGTGTATAGGAAAGCCCCAACTCGAGTTGGATAGTGCTCAGACATTGGGTGTATCTCCACCAGAGAAGAAAAACAACGCTCAATCGACGGCGGTGTCTTCCGGTCCATCTGAGCCACTTGTAATGGATAGACTCCAGGATACGGTATGTTCCTTAATTCTTTGAGAGATTTTTGAATAGTTTGAATAGTTTTCGGCGCTTATATCCTTGAAGAAGGGATGGGGAGACAATAGAAGGGCTCTTTATGAAAAAATGGGATACTCGCCTTAGGGGGTGGAGGATCTGCGGAACGATGAAGCAGCCGACAGGAACGTACGCTTCTATTCGGATGGCACTGGTTCCAGTTTTGTGCAAGAAGTCCTCTGAGCGCCCCCCCCCTCCCGCTCCCATCGGGTGTCATGAACTGCGAGTCAGATAGTGGAGAAAAACAGCGTAATGTTCTTGGGCGTCACGGGGGCAGGGGCGGGGGCTTTGCCTGAAGTACCTTAAGGTCAATAGGAGCGCAAGCAGGCCAAGTAGGTGGTAAGGACAAAGAGATCTGATCAGGGTGCTTTGTGGAAAATGAAATGCATATTGAAAAATACTGTTTTTTTGTA